TGGGGGATTGAACTGCTGTCCCTGTGCTTTGCTAAGCTTGTTCTGAGTAGGTGCTTTAGACCACTGAGCAATCTCACCAGCCCTTAAGTTTTTAATTTATTACCAACATTTAAAAACTAAAATCATTCATATTAAAAATTCTCAAAATATGTTGAATATTTTCAAAATGAAAAGGTGAGAATACAATTTTTTTCTTTTGAGACAGGATCTCACTATGTAGTACAGCCTGGCCTTGAACTCACTCATGTAACCCAGGCTGGCCTAGAACTTATGGTGATCCTTTTGCCTCAGCCTCCTGAGTGCTGGGATTGAAAGTGTGTACCACCATGCCCAGCATAAATAATTTTTTAAAAGTTACATACTCAGGGCCGGGGAGATAGCTCAGTAGAATAAGTGCTTGCCTGGCAAACGCAAAGGCCTGAGTTCAATCCCTGTTTCCGCAAAAAAAAAAAAAGAACTCCTTAAAAGTTACATATTCAAGTTTTGTTTTGTATTTGCAGTGCTAGGGATTGAGCCCAGGGCCCCTTGCATGCTGGGCAAGTATTTTTCCACTGAGCTACATCCCCAGTCTTCTAACATTTTCAGAAAAGCATAACAAGGTAGCCAGCCTCTCTTATATAATGAGGCATAATCAGTAGGATTTATGGACAAACTACGTATTGGAACTTTTTTTTTTTTTTGTGGAACCAGGGATTAAACTCAGGCCCTTGCGCTTGCCAGGGAAGTGCTTATTCCACTGAGCCATCTCCCCAGCCCCCCCGTATTGGAACTTTTACCCAGAGCATTGAAATAGTGAGGAGAGGGTTTCCTCACCATAACACAATGTACAGAAAGCTGGGGTGCAGCCAGGGTGCCTATGGTGCCACCACATCCAGCAATTTTATTTTATTTTAAATTTTATTTATTTATTTATGTGTGTGTGTGTGTGGCCAGCTCAGCCCACCAGGGGGCGGGGCAGGCTGGCATGTGGTGCTGGGGGATTGAACCTCGGTCCCTGTGCTTTGCTAAGCTTGTTCTAAGTAGGTGCTTTAGACCACTGAGCCATCTCACCAGCCCGAGCAATTTTAAAAGTTGGTAATAAGTTCACAGTTAAAAACAAAACCAAAAACCTTGCAGGTGAAATCAAGTATGCCTACCATCTGGTTTTGGTTCTTGATGCTGGGCCTCTACAGTGATGGGAACATCAGCTCTGGCCATAGCCCTCCCTGCAATGGCTGCAGCCCAGGTGAGGACGGGCAGTGACAGCTGGGAAGCCCAGACACATGAGCTCTGTGGTTCCAGCTTAGGAAGCCCGAGGCCCCAGGACAGCGGTCAGGGCTACATTTGCCCAGGAAATGCCTGGCAGCTCTGGTGGAACTCGGGCCAGGGAAGGTGGACAGGCATGGCCTGAACAGGTCTCTGGACCATCCAGAAGGAAGCAGCCCTCTTGGCCCGAGTCCCTGGCAGTAATGAGGTGTCACCCAGGGTATGTCACTGGCACCGTGAGACTCTCTGCACCCAGAGAGCCCCTTTGGGCCCTGAGCCTTCTCCCCACCCCAACTCTGGGATCTTCTGAGCCTGCTCTGCCTTTGGCCCTAGGTTTCCCAAGTATGGTGGGGACAGGGAGACATGGCCTTAGGAGGCCTGCTAGGAGATACCACCAGCATCCAGGGACTCAGGCGGCCGCCACATCAGTTCTGCCCTAGGAACCAGAGGTGATCTTTAACTCCATAACAGAGCCTTACCCGGTTGGCCAGTGCTGTGTTGTCCTGTGTGCGGTATGAGACCTGGGACTTGCCGTTATCCAGGATGTGCCGTATGACACGAATGCGGGCCACTTGCTCGCTGCGGCTGACCTGGTACTCGGGCTGCTCAAAGGACACCACCCCACTGGCTGCAAGGAGCCAGGGTGTCTGTCAGTCAGCAGTCCTGGCCTGTCCCTGCTCAGCTCCTGTCCTCCTTCCATCCCTTCCCAGACTCTAGGAGTCTCCTTGTTAACCCAGCTCCATCATTCTGGAGCAGGCAAAGCAATGGAATAGCAAAGTCTTCCAGCAAGAGTTGAAGTGTTGGCAGAGGCAGGAGCCAAGATGGAGTGCTGAAACCTAGGGCCAAAGGCAGAGCAGGCCCAGAAGATCCCAGAGTTGGGGTGGGGAGAAGGCTCAGGGCCCAAAGGGGCTCTCTGGGTGCAGGGAGGACCGTCCTCAGCATCTGAGCATCCACGGTGCAGTGCCTCTGCCCGGCTTAAGCCCTCCTCTGTGTGGAAGAACAGGGGCTGCTTATGCCCACACCCGTATCTCCACTGAGTGCTTAGCAGGTCCTTGTATCTAATTTACAGATGGAGGATCTAACGTCACAGAGGTTTAGGAACTGGCCTCGCCTATATGGCTAGGTCCCACTTACAGCTGGTGGCTACTTAGGGAACAAGGTGCCCAGAACCTCCCTTTCTGCCTCCCCGCCAAGCCTGCCCCAACACACCTTGCTCCTTGATGATGGTGATGTTCACCAAGCGCCGACCGAGGGTGGCGGTGCCCACAGGCACATCGATGGCCTCCACTAGCAGCTGCTTCTCATCGTCATCCTCAGGCCGGATGAAGAGGGGCACGCGTACGTCTACCAGCTCCACACCCTCCTGGAATTCCACCATGCCTCGGGCATCTGTGGGGGATCAGACGTGGGGCTTGCAGCCAGCCAAACAGCGGAAGAGTAAGGGGGCGGTGCAGGGAGGCTGCCCACCTACCCTGCTCGGCAGTGAGGGTGTAGTAGCCAGGGGCCACCTTGAGCTCGTGGAAGGCCCCCTGCTCCACTTGCTTCTCCGTCAGCTTCAGCAGCGCCTGCTTGGCCGAGCGGGGTGCCATCACCACTGTGTCCACGATGGTATGGTCTTGCCTGGTTAGGGAGGGCAGTCCGGTGAAGGAGGTGTCAGCCTGTTACCTGCCCCTGCTGGTCCTTCTTTCTGTCCTCTCCCCAGCAGGGACAAAATGTGAGACAGCAAGGGAGCAGGGTATTCAGAGCCAGGCACTGCCAGGGACACCTGCTGGCCCCAGGGCCCTCACGCAGCCTCAGCATCCCCTGTAGGAGACAGGCTTCCCTGAGCACTCCTCTGCGAGGGCTGGCTTGGTGAGAACTAGACACAGGACAGCAAAGATGCTGGGCATGGCTGCTCAAGACAGCTTCCGGCGGGGGAGATGGCTCAGTGGAATAAGTGCTTCCCTGGCAAGCGCAAGGGCCTGAGTTCAATCCCCCGTTCCGCCCAAAAAAAAAAAAAAAAAAAAAAGACAGCTTCCGGCTGAGCATGGTGGTGGTGGTGCAGGCCTGCTATCCCCATACTTGGGAGGCTGAGGCAGGAGAAACACTGCAAGTTCCAGGCCTGAACCTCATAGTGAGACCCTGCCTCAAAAAAACGAAAACAAAAAAAGAAAAGCCCTCCTGGCTTCAAATCCAGGCCTTGGGCACTTGGTTTTGTTTTGGATGATGGGGAATCACACCAGAGTTTGTGTATACCAGGCAAGTTTCCTCCACAGAGCAGCCCACAACTCTGGATCAGGGTTGTTTTTGTGCTGGGAATGAAACCAGAGCCTTCACACTTCCCCAGGCCTCTTCAATTTTTTAAATATTTATTTATTTATTTATTTATTATCTCTTTGGTTTCTTTTTTTTTTTTTTTTTCCCTCTTCCTCTTCTTCTTTTTCTTTTTTTGTGGAGCCGCGGATTGAACTCAGGCCCTTACACTTGCAAGGGAGGTGCTTATTCTACTTATTCTACTAAGCCATCTCCCAGGCCTTTTTAGTTTCTTGAGACATAATTTTGCTGTGTAGTCCAGGCTGGCTTCGAGCTCAGTGATCCTCCTGGTTCAGCCTCCTGAGCGCCGGGATCACAGGTGTGTGCAACCACACCTGGCTAATTTTTCAAAATTTTATGAGACAAGGTTTCACTGAGTTGCTAATTTGGGGCCGGGGAGATGGCTCAGTAGAATAAGTGCTTGCCTGGCTTATTCTAGCACAAGGGGCTAAATTCAATCCCTGGTTCTGCCAAACAAACAAAAAAAGTTGCTAATTTGGCCAAGCTGCTCAATCTTGTGATTTTTTTCCTGCTTCAGCCTCCCAGAGGACTGAGATTATAGGCTCTTCATCTTGATATCTAGGTAACCTTGGGTAAGCAACGTAACTTGTCCAAGCCTCAGCTTCCTCACCTGTCAAATGCGAGTGGCATGGTATCTCCCTCACAGGGTTGGTACAAGAGAGCTGTACGGCCCCTTGGCACAGTGCCAGGCGCACTGTAAGAGCGGTAAGTGCTGGCTGAGCTGTGCTGCCACTCTCCTGCAGTCTCTGCACATAGCCCCCCTTTTTTAGTTCCCCCCCACCAAAGGCCAGGGCTCAGGGGAGGAACTGGGGATGGATCTGTGTCACCTGCCACCCAATGTGAGCATCTCACAGCTCTGGGCTCTGCTGGTGAGGGGTGTGTGTGGCCAGTGGGAGGGCAGGCACTGCTCATCCAGGGGCTGCTTTGCCGGGAGTGCTTCCCTTCTGTGTTTCTTGAGAGTGGGCCAAGGAAGGAGGATGGAGATGGGGTGGTGCTGGGCCAGCTGGGGAGGGGCTGGTGCTGGGGAAGGAAGCGGCCCTGTCCCACCTGAGTATCTTCAACTCACTTTTTCCCTGCGTTGGGCTGCTGTCTGTGGGGACAAAGAAGGGATTATGAGCCAGATTGTCCCTGGGGTGAGGGCATAATCTGCCCGGACTTGAGCTCCTATGGTGGCTGTGTGAGAAGCTGCCACCCAGCTCCAGGGACCCTGGCTGCCTGGCCTGAGCTTTCTAGGGCTCAGCACAGCCAAGCTGCCCCCACCCAACCTGGGTACCATGGGACTCACCGGAACTTGGACTGCTGGAGCTTGTGGGCTCCAGTGATGTGTCTGTACACCTCGTTCAGCTGCCGGACAAAGGGGCAGAGGTGAGGCTTCGGGTCCACTGGGCCAGGTCCCAAGACTCAGGCTCTGCTGCCTCCCACATGGCCCCATGGCAGGTACATGTCTTTCCAGGGACACTGTGGCTGCCTGAGAAAGTCTCGATCCCATGGCCACTGTCCTCCAATCTCCCACCCCATGCTGTTGTGCTCCTCTCTCCCCAGTCCTGGCTCAGTCAAGTGAGTGCTCACATTCTCCTCCACCTCCTGGCGCAGCTGGTCACATTCTCGAGTGCCAGGCTTCAGCAGGTTCTCAGTGCAGAGGCGGGCAAGGCGCAGGGACAGCCCATAGGGTACTAGGATTGGGCAAGAGGAATGGGTGCTATCAGCCCCTGTACAGTGGTCCTCACAGAACGCACCTTCAGGAACTATGCTAAGACAGGGCGGGGGGATAACTGGCCACCCTGGGTGCAGTAGGCACAGTGCACCCAGGCCTGGGGCTTTCAGTGCCACCAGGAAGAGTCAGATGGGGCTGAGCCCTGCCTTTGCCCAACCCATAGAGCAAACAAGGACAGTGTGATCCCAATCTGGAGCAGCCCCAGGCTCACCCAGCTCCGTGGGGTTGGTGCTGGCGGCGTGGGTGGCAAAGCCGGGCCGCTGCACATTGTTGGTGATCTTCCAGCGGACCATGTCCCGCCCCTTGAGGTTCCCGCTGCGTAGCATAGGTGTATCCAAGTGGTCTGAGGCCATCAGGTTCTCCCGCAGCATGTAGTGGTCTTCCTTAAAGCCCACCATGTGGCCTGTAGGGAAGGGTCCTCAGCACAGACCCCTCTGAGCCATACCCAGACACACTCCTCTGCTCAGGGCCCATGTCCTCTGCCCCTCCTGTGCGGGTCCATACCTTTGCTGCAGCACGGGAGAAGTGCCAGGCAGGCCTACGAGACAAGAAGGCACGGTGAGGGCTGGGACAGTTGCCCGGAGCCAGACAGGCCCCTCTAGTCACCTCCTATTCCTGTAGGCTCCCTGGAGAAGTCCAGCAGAGAAGAAACCTGTTTCTCAAACATATTTGAGCTCCCTTTGCATGTAACACACAGGAATATTCCACCACGCTGGAGGGCAGCCCATGTCCCTACAATCCAGCCCTCCGTGCTGTGCATCTTCCATCTTTCGTGCTGTGCAGTCTCCTGCATCTGGTCTGTCCTCCCCAGCTAGGCTGTCAGCACCTGGCAGAGGGCTTCTGAGTGCCCTATGGCTGCTCCCAGGTCCTTGGCAGGAGGGGGACCCCAGGAAGATGATCCTGGCATCTGGTCTGCTAATGGTTGGTACAGGCAGGGGCTAAGGCCAGAGGCACAAGAACAGGGGCCTCTTATGATGATTTGCATATATCACCTATCCCTTTGAGTCTCAGTTTCTCCATCTGTCACAGAGAAGCCATTGACCTTATAGGGAGAAAATGAAGTTATGTAGATACACAGCGTGTAGATACACAGCGCTGTGACAACACAGCCACATGGAGTGGAGGAAAGAGGTGGACCCAGTAACAGAGATTGTTCTGTGATCTGGGGCTCTGGGATTCATAGCAGTCCTGGGAAATTCATAGGTCTCATCATTGCTCCTGTGACTTAGGGGTCACCTGGGACTCAGGGTTGGGTTAGCTGGGTCTTAGAATTTTTTTTTTTTTAAATGAATTTAGGACAGGGTGTACAGGGTCTCACTATGTAGATCCGACTCATAGTGATTCTCCTGTTTTTAGCCTCTCAGGCACTGGGATTGCAGGTGCGCGCCACCTCACCCAGTCTCAATGGCGGTCTCAGCGTGCCCTGTGATCAAATCCCAGGCCCCTGCGTCTGCCTAAGTAGGTGCTTTAACTTGCTGATCTATCTGGCTGGGTTTTTAGGAGACAGGATCAGGAAGGAAGGAAACAAGCCAGGACCTGAAATGGTGTTTAGCAGCCAGGTGCGATGGCACATCTATACCTGTAGCACCAGCATTTTGGGAGGCTGAGGCAGGAGAATTGAAAGTCAGGGACCAGCCTGGGAAATTTAGGAAGAACACGTCTCAACATAAAATCTGATTTTAGGGGCTGGTGAGATGGCTCAGTGGTCTAAAGCACCTACTTAGAAGAAGCTAAGCTAAGCACAGGGACCGCGGTTCAATCCCCCAGCACCACATACCAGCCAGCCCCGCCCCCTGGTGGGCTGAGCTGGCCACACACACACAAAATAAACAAATAAATAAATAAATATTTAAAAAAATCTGATTTTATTTTTTATTTTTTTAATTATTTATTTTTATTTTTATTTATTACATTTATTTATTGTGTGTGTGTGGCCAGCTCAGCCCACCAGGGGGCAGGGCTGGCTGGCATGTGGTGCTGGGGGATCGAACCGCGGTCCCTGTGCTTTGCCAAGCTTGTTTCAAGTAGGTGCTTTAGACCACTGAGCCATCTCTCCAGCCCCAAAAAATCTGATTTTAAAATAGGTGGGACCTTGGTAATGTAACTCAGGGGTAAAGCCTTGGGTTCAATTTCCATACCCACCCCCACAAAAGTATTCCAACTTTAAATGAGTTAAATTAGAGAAAGTTCTCAGAAAGCGTTCTAAGAACTTTCCCTAATTTAACTCATTTAAATCCTTGATTGAAGGAGAGGCTTCAAAGTATCATTTTCTGAGGTCAGTTTTACTATTTCTGGTTGTGCAGATGAGGGAGCGGAGGCAATAGCAAATGAGCAGAAATTGTTCAAGGTCCCACCACTGGGACCAGAATCCAGGCAGTCTGGCTCCCTGTACTCCAGGCTCAGGGTGGCTCTGAAGGGGAGCTGTGGGGGTGGGCACCTGGGGGTCAGGGTCACGGGGCGCTCACCTTGCAGCAGGCACAGTATTTCCAGCAGAGCAGCAGCAGCAGTGCCAGGAGTGGCAGGAGGAAGATAAGGAGCGGGATGAGCCACCAGAGGGAGTTGGGAGGACAGTCTGGGAGGAGAGAAGAGGAGGAGGTGGCGCCTTCTCCCTCCCGGCTCTGACACGTACGGTCTCCTGTCCCCACCATCGGCTTACCCTTCTTCCGGTGCACCAGTACGGTGCTGTTGGGCCCAGGGACGCCGTCGCCCTCCACAGTATAGCTGTAAGTGCAGTCATCATCCTCGTCCCGGAAGGAGCAGTACTCCACCACCTCCTCCGCTGCATCCACAGAGGGTCAGCAGGCACCCCACCCGGAGCCCCCAGAGCTGGGGAGATAACCCCTTCTCTGGGCAGTTCCCTGATTGGGGCATGATCTGCAGTCTTGGCGTCCAGCCAGTGTATGTGACGTAGGGGAGGCTGTGAGCCCATAGCCCTACTGTGGGCTCCGTCTGGGCCTGTGCCTCTGCTGTGGTCATGGCCCTGTGCACACCAGGCATCCCTTCCCAGGCTTCTGTCCCTTACTCAGCTGTGTGTTCCCGGCCAAACTGTGTGCCCTCTGCCTGGGTTTGGTGCCTCTTGTCCAGACTTTGTGTGTGTGTGTGTGTGTGTGTGTGTGTGTGTGTGTGTGGTGTAGGAGATTGAATTCAGGGCTTTTGCACAGAGCTACATCCCCAACTACTCAAAAAAAAAAAAATTGCTTTTTTTTTCAGTTTTGAGGAAGGGTCTCATTACATTGCCCAGGCTGACCTTGAACTTGTGATCTTCCTGCCTCAGCCTCCCAGAGTGCTGAGACTGCAATTGGGGACCACCATACTTGCCCAGACATTTTACTCTCATACAGGGCTCAGTGTCCCTCCGCGGCTACTCCCTATCCAGAATGTGTGCCAGGAACAGTGCATGCCTGTAATTCCCTCAACTCATGAGGCTGAGGCAGGAGGATCACTGCAAGTTAGAGGCCAACCTGGGTTACACAGTAGGTTGAAGGCACAGGGTGACCATGTCTCAAAAAAAATTTTAAAAACCAGAATGTGTGATTTTTTTTTTTTTTTTTTTTTAACTAGGGCTTGAACTCAGGCTCTTGAGCTTGCCAGGCAAGTGCTTATTCTACTGAGCCATCTCCCCAGCCCCAGAATGTGTGATCTTGACTTGGGTTTTGAGTCCCCTTCTCAGAGGAGGGACACCCCTGCCCTATTGGGTTGTCACCCCCAGTTCTCAGCCCTCCCACTTTCAGCCTCTGCTCTCACCTTTCTTAAGCTCATCCACTACCTTCACCTTGAAGCTACACTCCTCACACTTGCGGCCCTTCTTCTCCCCGGTGCCCCAGGCCTGGCACTGCACACAGGACCGCAGGTCTTCACAGAGGCCCAAGCGGATCTGGAGAGGGAAGAAGGGGCAGATGGGCCCCCTGTGAAACAGGCCCCCTTGGGCCAGCTCATGCCCTTGGCTTCCTCCTCCAGGGCATCAGGCTTAGCCCATCCTTCCCATCCTGCCCTGTGCCTGGGCTGCCATCTCCTCGCCCCAGCAATTCTGGCCTCACCGCTGAGTAGTTGATCTCGCAGGTGGTGTCCGTGTAGAGTGACTGCTGGTTACAGTGACAGCGGCCACACTCGCAGATGCCACGTCCATTACAGATGCCCTAGACCAGGAGAGGTCACCAGTGAGCCGCTATGCCCAATCCCTGACCACACCTTCCCTCTTCTCCATTGGTTTTCTATTGACTGAGAGCCTTCTGGTGCCCACATTCCCTGCCTCATGCCCACACCTACCCCATTGCTGTCGATGCAGGTGGCATTGCTGAGGGGACAGTCACAGCCGAGGCCTGTCCAACCAGGCTCACACACACACTGGCCCAAGGAGCAGCGTCCCCGGTCTGCAGAGCAGGGGAAGAGGGAGGGGAATCTGCAGTCCAGGCCACCCACCTTCTAGGGAGGGCTGGTGGAGCCAAGAGCTGAAGCCATCTGCGCCTCACTCCCTTGGACTCCCGCCCCCATCCTGCCTTCCACCTCCACTCTGAAGCCAGAGTGGTCATCCAAAACACAAATCCAGTAACACCATCACCCCATATAAGAACCTCTGATAGGGGCTGGGGAGATGGCTCAGTAGAATAAGCGCTTGCTGGCAAGCGCAAGGACCGGTTCTGCAAAAAACAAACAAACAAAAAAACCTCTGATAGATCCTGGCCAATGCAGAGGCTAAGAAAAAATGTACAAGTATTAGAAAGAGGGCTGGTGAGATGGCTCAGTGGTCTAAAGCACCTACTTAGAACAAGCTTAGCAAAGCACAGGGACCACAGTTCAATCCCCCAGCACCACATGCCAGCCAGCCCCACCTCCTGGTGGGCTGAGCTGACCACACACACACACACACACACACACACACACATAAATAAATAAAATTTAAAACAAAGTAAGAAAAAGGACTGTCATTATTTGCAAATATCAGGATTTTTTAAAAAATGTATTTGGTATAGGGTCTTACTACACAGCTTGGACTCATAATGACCCACCTGTTTTCAGCCTCCCCAGTGCTGGGATTACAGGCGTATGCACCCACACCCATTCTAGGTAGCTGCTTAGTGTGCCCAGGGGTGGGGCCAGTGTGGCATGTGGTGCTGGGGATCGAACCCCAGTCCCTGCTTTTGCCTAAGCAGGCACTTGGTCTGCTGAGCTATCTTGCTGGCCCCCTTGTTTTGTTTTAGCTAGAGTCTCACTGTGAAATTCAGGCTGGCCTTGAACTCACTTTGTAGACCAGGTTGACCTCAAACTCATGGTGATCCTCTTGCCTAAGCCTTCCAAATGCTGGGAGTACAGGTGTGCACCACCACACCTGGCTATGTATTTATTTTATATCTAAACACTTACAGTGTCTAATAATTTAGCTGTAGATTATTCTAGATATCTGAAAATATGTTCTTGTCATGCACGATAGCATATGCCTGTAATTCTAGCACTCAGGAGGCTAAGGCAGAAGCATCACCATGAGTTCAGGGTCAGCCTGGGGTACATGGTGAGTTCAAAGCCAGCCTACATTACAAAGTGAGATCTCATCTCAAAAAAAAAAAAAAGTATGCAAATAGTAAATGAAATAGAAACATCCCTGAGTACTTTTTTTTTTTTTTTTTTTCCCCCCGAAATGGAGATTGAACTCAGACCCTAGCACTTGCCAGGGAAGTGCTTATTCTACTGCGCCATCTTCCCAGCCCCCTGACTACTTTTGGTTCAAAGGTTAAAGCCCTGCCCTGGACTAGAACCCAACCTCTTGCCTCTGGCCTTGTCGCTTATCTCAGGGCCATCTCCCCACCCATCCTCTCTCACACTTTCACTTGCGCAGCATATCCGCCTTTTACTAGATATGCCTGGTTCTCCCTTTCTCTGACCACATCTGGGATGGACAATTGAGGAGAAAAAATAGCAGACAAAAACAAGAATGAAGGAGGGCTGGGGAGATAGCTCAGTGGTCTAAGTGCCTACCTGGCAAGTGCAAGGACCCAAATTCAATCCCCAGTACCCATGCCATGTTGGCCCCAGAACCCTGGGCATGCTGTGCTGCCCCAAAACTGAGTGTGGTGGTGCATGCCTATAATCCTAGAGCTGGGGAGGCTAAGACAGAAGGATCACTACGAGTCTGAACTGTATAGCGATGCCTGTATACAAAAAAAACAAAAAAAGATGGGCTGGTGAGATGGCTCAGTGGTCTAAAGCACCTACTCAGAATAAGCTTAGCAAAGCACAGGGACCACGGTTCAATCCCCCAGCACCACATGCCAGCCAGCCCCGCCCCCTGGTGGGCTGAGCTGGCCACACACAAATAAATAAATAAATAAATAAATAAAATTTATAAAAAAAAAAGAAAAGAAAAAAAAAAGAATAAGAAAAAAGAAAAGAAAAGCATGAAGGAAAGGGTAGAGAAACAAAAAACAAGGCCTCACCCTCTGGTACACTTGCTATGGGAGCTTACTAAGTATTCCATAGTGGGTTTGCATTTACCCTTCTGCCATCAGATACCAATGCCTCTATGTTCCTCCTTGTTTGAGTTGTGCCCCCTGCCCAGCGCTGGCAATCCTGGCCCAGCTGTGTGACTATGAGCTGGGCCTAGCAGTGTGAGGTTCTATGGGATATGCAGGTGGAATAATACCACTACCAATAGCATCTTTGGAGAGAAGAAAGGCTGCCTGCCCATATACCTGCCAACCACAGAGGGTGCACCTGGGTGGTCCCCACCCTGATGAGATGAGGGAGTGGAAAAGGGGGACAGGTATAGATCTGAGCTGCTGGAGAGAACCTCAGGGGAATCAGGGCCTTAAAAAAGATGGAATGGGGGCTGGGGAGGTAGCTCAGTGGTAGAACACTTGCGTGACATGCTTGAAACCTGGGCCTAATCCCCAGCACTACACACACACACACACACACACCAAGCAAACAAAAATGCTATACTTAATAAAAAAAACCAAAAAACAAAAAAAACCCAGGAAGAGATCTGCTACCCAACCAGGGGCCTCGGGCCTTGATGCCACTGATGAGGGAAGTGAGGTCCTGATGGGGGCGGGACATAGGGGAGGCTCTGCAGTGGAGTGGTTTGGCCTGAATGTGGCATCCTGACTCCTAGCCTCATGCTCCCAGCCTAGGTCCTCGCAGGCCCCAGCACTGGCAGTGGGTGTGAGCTCACCATTGCAGAGGAACCCGGAGGTTCGGGGGCACTGGAAGTTGTCATACTCGCAGAAGTGACCCTCGTAGCGGCCTTCGCCGTAGCACACACAGCGTCCGCACTGGCACTCGCCATGGCCAGAGCATGGCTTGTCTTCGCCCTCCAGCATGCAGGGCTCAGTGTCACTCAGTGAGCCAGTGGAGCAGTTACAGGTCTTGCCAATCCTGAAGGGGGAGATGGCCACTTCCCCTCAGCTCCATAGGGAGCCTTGCTTTTTTTTTCTTTTTTGCGGAACTGGGGATTAAACTCAGGCCCTTGCGCTTGCCAGGGAAGCGCTTATTCCACTGAGCCATCTCCCCGGCCCCAAGCCTGGGATTTTTTAAGGTCCCATTTTACAGATGAGGAACTGAGGGAGGGCTGAGACAGGTCTAAGTCATGTAGACAGCAGTGGCTGAGCTAGTGCTCAGGGCCCTGTTGCAGGATTAATGTATGTCCCTCCTTGACAGACTACTCCGTGTCTCACATCTTTGTCTGTTTCTGAGACAGGGTCTCACCCTTCTACCTCAGCCTCCCAAGGAGCTGTGATTACAGATGTGTGCCACCAGGTCTGGCCGTTGTCTTTAAAAGTTCTTGTGGCCGGAGAGATGGCTCAGTAGAATAAGTGCTTTTCTGGCAAGTGCAAGGGCCTGAGTTCAATCCCCGGTTTGGCCAAAAAAAAAAATAATAAATTAAATAAATAATGAAAGTTCTTATGGCTGGGCATGGTAGCACATGCCTGTAATCCCAGAACTTGGGGAACAAGGCAAGATCCATGAGTTCAAGGTTAGGCTGAAGTATGTGCTAAGACCCTGTCTCAAAAAAACAAAACCGGGGGTGCCGGGGAGATAGCTCAGTAGAATAAGTGCTTGCTTGGCAAGCGCGAGGGCCTGAGTTCAATCCCTGGTTCTACCAAAATAAATAAATAAATAAATAAAATTCCTAACTCAAAACCACCCTAAATGCTTTGAATGGAATTCAGCCAGCAACGTGGCCCTTTCTGTGACCTGCCACCCCACCCCCAGCTGCTGTACAAGGTGCACCCGGGGTCAGGAGCCTGCAGAAGACCTCCTGGGACTGTTCCCGCCCCCACTCACCAGCCCTCGTGGCACACGCAGTGTCCGCACGTGAAGTCTCCTCTGTAGTTGCAGCGAGCTGACTGCACCTCTTTTTGCTGCAACGAGACCACCATTAATGGTGTGCGTGGAAAGAACGGGCCAGGGTTGCTGCGCACTTCTGCTGCCCGCTGTGCCTCAGGACAGAACAGGCTGATGTGTCCTCAGGAGGCTCTGCTTTGTCACTCGGGGGCCCGGGTGCTTAGCTCAGTTCTTCCCTCCCACCTAGGGGGGCTGAGTTGTACCCGCTCGCAGGCGCACACGTCGCAGATGATGCCCACATCCATCCAGAGACCATCAGAGAAGGAGGGCTTCAGGTGGATGCTGCCTGCCTGGTCCTCGTCTGCCAGCTGGCATACGTGCGTCCCGTCCACATCCTCCACAGCCCGCAGCTGCACGTTGTACGTTCCCTGCAGGGATCCTGCCATCAGCCAAGGTAGGTCCTGCCAGAAGTCTAGGGGCCACTGGTGCTTGAAGTCCTTGGCCCTCGGGCTTCTGGGATGAGCCTGAGTCTCTGATCCTCAACTTCTTGCTGGCCCTGCCTTAGGGCTGAGGATGCCTTCCTCAGTAGTCATCCTAACAGCAATGGTGATGACAAGCCTCCCCTGGCTCTGCAATGTGAGCCTGCTAGCCCAACTTAGCAGCCCTAGAGTTGACGCTCTCTTCCACCTCCACTACAGGGACACAGATGTGGCTAAACCAAGGATTGTGCTGCAAACATCCGGGGGGCTCACCATGGGGAACTCTACCCCTCCCAGGTTACTTACTATTCCTGACCTCCCATTGCCCCCACCCCAGCAGAGGCGTACCACTTCCCCCCGCCTGATGTGAAAGGACCCAGTCTCTGTCTTCTGGAACATCTTGGAGGTGACCTCTGTCCGCAGGCCTCGGGGGCTGTCCAGGGCCCGGATGTCCAGGTTGGAGCGAATGCGCTAAATGAGGGCAGAGGATCAGTGGTCTGGAGTACCCCTGCTCCCCACCCAAGGTGCTCACATAGAGGATATGTGTGGGATCACATTGGCTGCTCCGGCTCCCAGGGATGGCCAGAGGCCCTCTACTGGATCATCCGAGACCCATGTCTCAACCCTACCATACTACCCCTCGCCCACTCTGCCCTCCCCCAGCAGGGTTCAGGCCCTGCAGCCCACGTGGCCCTCACATTGAAAGCCTCCTGCAGCAGGTCCACGATGTTGGAGGAGTCTTCCTGTAGCACACCCAGCGAGGAGACCGGGAAGTATGTGTGAAGCTTCTGCAGGAGACAATGGCCAAGGGCAGGCCTTGGGCTAAGCATCTCCTTGAGTCCAGTCTGGGGTCATTCTACTTTACAGGCAGGGAAACTGAGGCCTGGGACCTGCCAATGTGTTCCAGAGCTCACCTTCTCTGCCCTCAGGTACTAGAATGGGTTGGGGGATGGGCAGGTGATCCATCAGGCCTGAGTCTTTTATTTTGGCACACTAGGGATTGAACTTGGGACCTTGCGCTTGCCAGGCAGGAACTTATACCACTGAGCTACATTCCTGGCCCCTTTTCTGTCTTTTTTTTTTTTTTTTTTTTTTTTTTTTTGCAGAACTGGGAATTGAACTCAGTCCCTTGAGCTTGCCAGGGAAGCGCTTATTCTACTGAGCCATATCCCTGGCCCCTTGAGACAGTCTTGCTATGCAGTTTAGGCTGGCCTTGAGTTTACTTTGTAACCCAGGATGGTCTCAAACTTGCAACAATCTTCCTGCCTCAGCCTCCTGAGTGCTAGGATTACAGGTGTGCACCACCACGCCCAGCTGGCCCCATTCTTAGAGACCTGAAAGCTTTGGGAAGGCAGGAGGGAGGAAAGGATGGCAGGAATAAAGGGAGGATGGGGGTCTGAGAGGTTCCATAAATATTTCCCGTGTGTCCTCCCCTGGGGGTGGGATGGCCCGGGTCTGTACCTCGTAGTAGCTGTAGGAGTAATTGGTGACAGCGAAGATGGGGATAATGTTGTGCTTGGCAAGCAGGCGCACCAGTGTTGGCACCGATGGGTAGTCTTGTATCTTGTACTGGGTGTAGGTGCCTGTGGCGTCCAGGTGGCACTTCTCGTCATTGCGGTTCATGATGCCAGCCAGCACGTTGGCACCATCGGCCTCATAGTGAAAGGCTGACTCCGTGGAGAACACTAGCATGTGGGTGCTGTCGGGGCGCCAACCAATGTCCCTCTGGGGGAGGCAAGAGGGCATGACAGTGAGAAGGGCCATCCCAAGGTCATGGAGGACAGGGGAAGCAGGTCCTGAGATGAGAGATGCAAGTGATAGCCCATGCGTGATAGCACTGAAAACTAGAAATACGTAGGGATGGGGGAAGGGGCAGTGGAAGCAGCACACGTGGGCACACAGCAGGCACCATGCACGACCTGAACCAGGTTCACCAGACTGCCCCTCCCCCAGCTCTGAATCGCGATGCAAGAATATTTTATTTTTATTTTTATTTTATTTTTTTGCAAGAATATTTTAACAGGGGCTGGAGAGATGGCTCAGTGGTCTAAAGCACCTACCTGAAACAAGCTTGGCAATGCACAGGGACCGCGGTTCAATCCCCCAGCACCACATGCCAGCCAGCCCCGCCCCCTGGTGGGCTGAGCTGGCCACACACACACA